GGTGGATCAGGCAGTCCAGGGTGCCATGGCGGCACAGGGAGCTCAGGGGCCATGGCGGAGCAGGGAGCTCTGGAAGCCATGGCGGAGCAGGCAGTTCGGGGCACCATGGCGGAGCAGGCAGACTAGGAGGCCATGGCGGAGAAGGCAGACTAGGAGGCCATGGCGGAACAGGGAGCTCGGGGAGCAATGGCAGAGCAGACAGTTTAGGAGGCCATGGCGGAACAGGGAGCTCGGGGAGCCTGGCCTCGGTACTCGGACCAGCCTCCACGGATGGATCCCTACTACCTCCCCCCAAAAAAATTCTTGGGGAGAATATAATCTTTAGAGGCCCTCCGTAGGCCTACCTCAGGAACAGTGGCTCTCCCTGCGTCGGAACATTTGGCCGGATATGTGGAGGGTCCTGGCGAGGAGTGACTGGCGAGGCCCGGTGGTTTTCGGGAGGGACTGGATGATGATCGCTCTGAACCTTTTCTACTTTGAGACTTACTCCATTTAAATAAAGGACATGATTAACCAACTCAATCAGGGGAAAACTATACGTGGGAAGATCGCAGCCGATTATGGCATCATCCAGCCCCAGCCGAAAACAGACACCGAGAGCGGCATCGAACCAGCTCACCTGGCTCACCTCTAGGAACTCCTCCACATACTTCTCCAACTCCCGACCACCCTGCAGCAGACACCAAAGCCTGTCTTCAGCCGCAGTCATCTTGTTTGGTCAGATCTTCTGTCACAGTGTGTCTAAGACCATATAAGGAAACACAGGAAGAACTACGGGGGCAAAACGGTTCCAAAAGTCTGACACTTATTTTGGTCAAATTATTAATGTTTTGCAGATACTGCAAAGTGAATGTAAAATTTAGACCACAACTGTATATTTACCCAAAAATATATTTTCAGATTTATCTAGATTTCTTTCTTTCTTGCTTACATTAGGCAATATAGTTTGTCATTTGAAGGTTTAAACAAAATATATTTTCAATTTGAAAAATATATTTTCTATAAGCAGTGCTTTTTGTCACACATTTAGCATATATTTCAAGTGTAATATGGCCAAAAAAATGTTTTTAGCTGTATGGTTTGTGAAGATGCTTGAATGGGTTGTGCTTGAATATTTGCATTGAACAACATCTTGGAGATTAATTGAGCTTACTCTGTGGCTTAGGCGCCTAGCGTCAAACAACTATTCTCCTTGACAGATTGATCAAAAAAGATTGGCAGAGCTTCCATCCGGAGTTCTGAAGACCATCACTTCTATTCACCGGCTCCCTGTCACAGTTTTGCATATCAGAACTGACGGAATCACAAAGGCTGAGAAGCTTTAATGAGCCAAAGTTCTCTGCTCGTCGAGGTGGCAGCTTGTGTCAGAAATAAAGCTCATAATAGCATGCAGTCCAAGCTCCACTGAACATTTCCTACTGTTATGGTAATGGGTTACCGCTACCTTATCAAACAGTTGGGGCCATTTTGCTCCGTTGTTATTTTTATCTTCCTTTCTTGTGTTTGTTTGAAATTATCTCTGAATGACCGCAACATTTAGCGGTTCAGTGTAGCATTCCCTCCTTTCAAATGTAAATTCCGTTTTTACCTCAGAAAACAAATAATGCAAGATTTTGTTCCTTGACAGGCTTGAAGTGTTTTGTGCAGTTTTTCTTTCTGTGCATTTTGAACTGTCTGTGGAGAATCTATTGAAACCGAGAGTTATGGAAGCATCAAACACTTGAGTCAAGAAGTGAAGGCCTCTTGAGGTAAGAGGGAAGGTAAAGTGGCATCACTGGTCATTCCAATAATTCAAATTGGGCTATGCTTTAAAGGGCATCCCGACATGAAAGCAGGTACACATCAGTGGACAGATGCCGCTCCTGGGTTCTGAAGTTGTCTCTTTTATGGCTTCTGCAGCTTGCAAAAGAAAATATACTCAGGTAAAAGAAATGTTTTTAAATGCAAACCAATTCAACTGCAAAGATAAAAATGCCTTCAGACTGGACTCGGGAGATCTTTTATCGGGAGACTTAACCAAACCTTTCCTCTCCTTGGCTATTTTTCTTCCAGTTGAATTTGATTCAGGTGAACTTTTTTTTTTTTAAACTGTCAGTCAACATTTTCCTGCAAAATATGAGGCCAGTCACACTAGGTAAAAAGTTTGGCTTGAAATCCGTTTCAATAACCACTCATCCGAAAATATAGACATCTTTTTAAAGCCACTACAACAATCAAATCACCATCACTATTCATTCGGGGCAGCAGAATTGCTGTTGTTTTTGTAAGTAAGAATGAAGGACAGAGGGCAGCCATCATCATATTCCCTGTAATTGCTTTTTGACTGATGTGCAGCTGCCATTGAATTGAATCATGCCAGATTACCAGCCGAGTTTCAGAGCCACTGTGGCTCTAAAGAAAGTGAATCAATTGTAGAAGAGCCCAGCTCTCGAACAATTTGCCAGATCCATCCTTTCCCATAGAACTAATCTTCAGTCATGCTAGAGAGAAATGCAACCTGCCTTTCATTGGAAGATGTGCAAAAAAATTTTTTGGGTTTTAAAAATATGTAGGATGAACTTGTGAAATCAGTTGTCTTGCGCTGAATTCCCATGTTGTAGCACCCGAAGATGTGTGTCTGTATATATCTACCCTAACAAAACACCAGTTTAAAACCACACATGCCATGTTCAATAGTACTTTGTTCAGTTCTTATTTGTAAGATATTAAATGGAAATTTTGTCATTTATTCAGACTTATCTAATTTCAAACCTGTATGACTTTATTTTGTCTGTGGAACAAAGATATTTGGAAGAACATTGAGGTTCAAACAACATTAGACCCATTTGATTTTCACTGTTTGGACATAAAGCAACACTGCCATTTTTCAAAACATCTTCTACGTTCCACTGAAGAAAGAATGTCATGCAGGTTTGGAATGACATGAAGGTGAGTAAATACATTTACTTCATGCAACAATTTGTCAGTTTCTTTAAAAGAAAAGCATTGCAATATAGATTATAGATTTAGTGTGATCAGAACCGTAACAAGGGATTATTCCTTGGTATGTACTGTAGCAGTGAGCTTCAGTTGTATTATGTGGAATAGGGAATTAGTCTATATACAAGTTCCAAAATGACCACTATCAAAGCATTACCCAAAGAGGTGTAGTAAGAAACGCTGTTCATATACAGTAGGTTACGGCCTAATTTTAAGGCCTGCAGCTTGAGAGAGATTGAGAAAGACAGAGAGAGGGAGAGACCGGGAGCAAGATGAAACCGTTTGACATTTATAATTCTGTCCCTTGATAGTGAATTTGCTTGGCGGGGATTGTGTGTGTGTGAGTGTGTAGTAATGTGGAGGTGGTGGTGGGGCATAGCAAGGACAGAGAGCCGTGGTGCATAGAATTATCACTGGCATTCCTGCCTCAACATTTTGGAATTGGAGCATTTTGAATCATAATCATTTTGATACGTTCATAAATCATGTAGCTTGGGAAATCAGGAATTTAGAAGTGAAATGTGTGGCCCAGTTATGAGTGATCCCTGAAGGATTCTCGCAGCTGCTTGATAGTCAAATAGTCTTATTTTTTTCTTGTAAATATTGTTGGATGTCACTGCAAGGCTGTTGTACTAACAAAATAAAATGGAAAAAATGATATTGTGATGTTTCCGAAACTGAATTTGCCTTTAATACTGATTATTCCTGCCTGGCTGTTCAGTCAAATTAATTGTCATCACATTCATGTCACTATAATGAATCATTGTGAGTTCATGCATTTCACATGTACTTACTAATCATTATATTTATTAGATAATCATGTAATTTATACATTTAATGACTGTATTGCACCTCATTCCATACTCCATCTCTGTCTCCACCCCCCTCTCTCACTAGAGCCCATTTTATGTGATGTTGGAGAGTTTCTATGCGGTGACCAGCTGACCTGTGTGTCCGAGAGCTGGCTTTGTGATGGGGAACCAGACTGTCCAGATGGTTCTGATGAGGTTCTGGACAAATGTAAGTAACCATTACACCAACCCACAATGCCACAAAACATCTCTGCATTCCCATATCTCCGTGCACCAAAAAAATCAGCCTCGACCTGCACATGATTGCTCCTCACCTTGTTTAATTCCAGATTGCACTTTACATGCAAAGTGTGGGGAATTGTATTCATGAAAAGATCGATCAGTTTCTGCTAAAACTGTGTGCCCAATTGCTTCATGTAGATGCAGGACATTTCTAGAAGAACTTAATTTATTACAGATTCCAGGCACAGTGGGTCAACTATTCTCACCACTGGTATTCTATTATCATTTAGATTAATCATGTTCTCTCTGTTTTATTTATAATGCCTTAGAATGGATTTCAGGTGTAGTTATCATGGGAATTTTGAGAAGCTCATTACCATAGATTATGTATCGATAGGAAATGCATTTCAATCAGCTTTTCACAACAAAATGTGCAGTGGAATTTAATGTGTTTGTAAGCCAACACAGACTACTATCGCATGAGTGTACTAACAGCACTCCACCGGCATGGGTAAATTTATTCATGTGTTTGTGCATATTGGGCACCCTGAGGTTACTGTGTTGCTTACGATAGTGGAGTAAAATCAGTGAGTAAGCTGTGCTGCCACTTTAATCTAGGAAGCTGTGCACAATTTTTATCATGTAATGTATATATCTATGTATTTAGACATAGGACTGAAAAGATGCACATAAAAAAGTCAGTGTACATTTTTTACATGGCAAGTAAACATTATTTTATGTCAAATCAAAATTATCCAGGTCTAAAATGTATATTTTTGCCAACGTTAAACCATGCTAAAAACATGTACATTGTTTGGCTAAAGATTATCCATAAATTATTAAACAAAATATTTTCACAAAATGGTAGTTGTGGGGTAAAGTGTGCCATCTGCTTCAGGGTAAGCAGTGCCAGTGACTCAGCTGATGCTGATAATAAGCTTTGCATCTAAATGCAGGAAATACTTTGGAAATACATTGGTCTTGTTAAAGTAGTAGCCAATTTGTTTTCCAACAAAGAAAAACCTGGCAAAGAAAAACCCACCGTTCAAAGAAAACAATCAAGAGTGTGGTTCCCACATTGATTTATGCACTGAAGAAGCTACCTCGGCCACACAAAGCCTGGACAACTACTACGAAATATTTCATATTTCCCTGCAGTCTTGGCGATTGGAATGTGACATAAGAAAATATAAGTTTATTCAGTCTAATAATGGATCTTTTGTATACTTTTTTTGTCAAGAATCTTTTTTTTCCCCTGTGAAAAATATTAACTTTATGAATATCTCATAATTTGCAGTAGGTTAAGACTCTAAAATTGGATAGTGAAATGGGATATTTTATTTTATTTTATTATTTTATTTTATACTCTTTTTTTTTTTTTGGTAATTATTATTAAATCCTGTTTCTATTGTCTCGCATTCGGGACACTTTCTTCTAATTTATGTAATTAGACACTTTACGTGACACTTTCTCTATCTTCTTTCCTCTTGACTAGAGGTAAACTTAAGTAAAAAGTGGCACTGCTTACCCCACTCTCTGCTCTAACTGCTTTAATTTATCCTCACCTTTTTTTAATTTTCACTTCATTAATTTTGACTCTTCATAGAAAGGACTAAAATTATTTAAAGTCATCGATCTGAGACACTGAACTGGAATTCTTATTCACTGGTTAATACTTATACCAATCTTCAAAGTAATTGAAATTTTGAAGCATTCTATTGCTTCAAAGTTGATGAACACTATTGTAATTGCCAAGTACATCTCTACCTAATGTATCACTCACAGTGGGACTGTTTATATTATACTATGTCGCTTCTAATATTCCTCAAGTAAGACTTGCTTGAGAACACCTTAAACGACTGTCTACTTGTTCTCATGTAAGTGAACCTAATGATAAAGTGATACTGCAGAAGCTGTCTCCAGTTGCTTCATATTATTATGTTCAACTCTTAGTCCTCTTAGATTTATAATAAGATTCACCTGGAGTGTTTTTAATTTCTGAGCCTAGCTGTTACCTGATATTAAGTCCTTGGTTTTCATCTTATAGTTATTGTTTTTGCTGTTCCAGTTTCTGGACTGTGCATATTCCTAGCGTTGGTGTGCCCAAGTTCTGCCACCAAAGAGAAATGTAATCACTGCATTATCAGGGCCTCCAGGGAAGGGCAGCTGCACATTTTCAGTGCCACATGGCCAGCGGGAACCTGGATAGGCTGCCCATCCAGCTTCCCTATGGGACCAGCCCGACATCTTGGGTTATCAGGGGAGCTGGGAGACAGCCCACTTTCCTGTAATGAAGAAAAACGTATTGTGATGACAGTCTCTGAGCTTTCCAAGCACATCATGCTATTTCTTATATTGGTCAGTGGAGTATGACCAGTATGAGTGTTTTGACATGAGTTATGAGTAGAATGACCATACAGCCAAGATAATCTCTGTATCGCTAAAGAGAACTGCAGGAACATTGAAAGCTCAATGAGGAACGGCTTCTTAGGGTTTAAATGAAACGATATGGGTCATTTTAGTGCTCTTCACTCTGTTCCATATGTTCCTGCTTTTTGTCTTGAACGTAATGTTCTTTATCAGGAAATACAAAGACATGCTTCAGTGACAAATTGCTCGACTCTTTTTTCTTTTTTTTTCCTCCTTTGAAGTTTGAATTGAACAGAGAGGGTGAGAGATTGATTTTTGTTTTGTTCTCATTTTTGTTCTGGGCAAAGCATTAACTCGCAACACTCAGAAGGCGATGCAGGCAGTGAGCCACAAGGCGAGCACATGATGTTCTTGTTTTTGAAGAGATGACAGCTGTTTACTTTAGACATATGTCAAGTTAATTGTACATCACTGGCCCTTAAACCCTACTTTGATCAAATATACGTTATAGTACCTGGGTTACACTTTTAAAAGAAGCTCTACATGAAATTGTATTCACTCAGGACACAAGAAAATGCAAAAAAAAAAAAAATATATATATATATATATATATGCAGTATACACACATTAACGTTTACATTTAAAGAAGTTAAAATCGCTACATAATACATACATGCTCCAAAATACATATAAAATGTATGTTATATCTAATACATATAGTTCTATCCCAATACAAAAAAAAAAACAAAAAAAATAAAATAAACCGCTTAAAAATTATGCTATACTTAGAACCAAATAAAAAATCAACACCAGCTCACTCATACACACACAAACCGACTGTCAGGCAAAATGACAAGCAATGTATCAATAATAGTGATATACAGGCAAAGATAATATATAATGCAGACAAGTAACAGTAGTTTAGATTTAATCATTCAATCAGTGCTAAACCAAATACCAAAAACATATACATAGCATAAAATTCTCAAACTGGTAGAGCAGAAAAGACAAGAAAAATTAACGTTGACAGTGTTGACTCTCTATTAACCACTTCTTTAAGTGAAACTTAAAAGAGGCATAAGTATTAAAATGTGTAATGTAAGTTGGGAAGGAGTTCAACTCACGAGCAGCTAAATGTTACATGTACGTTAATGATGATTATAAGTGTCATAAAAAATGTACATAAATGAATATTGTACAATATGCAGTTATTTTATGCTTTTATTAAACGGCAACATTCAGTTTTGTACAATATTTAACAGGATCCATCTGCTCCATCTTTCTGTCCACTGCGGATCCATGGCTTAAAAACAGTTGACCCCAAAACAAAAGAGCATACCTCAAAGTATAACAGCATTGGACTTGGGTTGCATAGAATTAAGGGGTGGTCTTGCAAAAATAGCTTGGCTGTGACTTTCCATCTAAGATGCATAGAAATGTGTATGAATTTTATGAGCACTCCTCTAAGGGCAGTTTCCTATGGCCCCTCTCATACTGAAATAAATGGAGAGTAAATGTGCCTATTCCCCCAGAGAACCGACACCTGCAGAAAGGAGGTTTGAGAGGTAATGTAGCATAGCATCTTGTTATTGAGCTGAGGGACAGGCATGCTGCATTATGCAATATTTACCTCAATGGCCGCCTCTGAGCACAGAATGAAATGCTAGCAAAATGCTAGACTGTGCGAGGGACATTTATGAGATCATCAGGTGACATTTAACTTGATTAACATTTTTGAGCTCTGTGTTTCATGAGGACATGTACAATATAGTACATTTTGGAAGAGAAAATACTCTGGGTAGCTTTGTATTGAAATATGGATTAATAGATCTATACTCTTTCTAACAAACACTGCACTCTCAGGAAAAAAAAAGCTGGTACAAAGCTGGGGTGGTACTCTTTCAAAAGGTAATAATATGTATCATTTATGTACTAATATGTACACTTTATGTACTATTATGTACATTTAAAGTGCTAATATGTACCATTAAGGTACCATTTAGGGGTAAATAAGGTACAGGGATGCACATTTTAGCTTTTGTACCTTAGGTTATCGTCCCATTTACAGCTTTGTACCCTTTGTATAGTGATGGGCTATGTTTTTAGGCGAGAGTGTTATGCAATTATTTGAGGCAATTTTGCCATCTGGAAATGAGCAGAATGCCAAGTTCAGAGCACAAGCTGCTGTTATTTTTTTCTTATGATTTCTGTATTGTCTCACAACATTAAGACGAGAGCCAAATCAAAGCAGCTTATTAGAGTGACAGTTTTTTAAATGGTGCTTTCTCATTTAATTCTCTCAGTTATATACAGTTACAGCCCACAGACAGTGCCCTCAACTAATATCGGCACCCTTGGTAAATATGAACAAAGGCGGCTGTGAAAATAAATCTGAATTGATAACCTTTTTGATCTTTCATTCAAAAAAGTCACAAAATTCGAACTTTTCATGGAAGTAAAACAACTGAAAGTGGGGGGAAACTCACATTATGAAATAATGCCAATATTAGTGGAGGGCACTGTATATAGACCTCAAATGGTAAAATTTCTGTTTATATGCATGTACGCATCTGTACAGTTTGGCTGATTTTAAAATATCCCTACCAATTTTAAAAA